TCGTCTTGTTAGGTTAGTTAGTGTGACCAACCCATTAAAGGGGAGTTTTGTCCACGGGAGCGTATTTTGTTTGGTTATTTTGCTTGGCTCCTACCCGCTGTACCTCATCAACTAAGAGATTATCCAAGTGTCATTTAAGGACAGCGAGTGTCAACCCATCCGCTACGGGGAGACGCGCCTGGTAGCAGTTTCTCCTCTGCCGCAGTGTGTGTGTGTGTGTGTGTGTGTGTGTGTGTGTCTGCGTGTGTGTGTGTGTGTGTCTGCGTGTGTGTGTGTGTGTGTGTGTGTGTGTGTGTGTGTGTGTGTGTGTGTGTGTGTCAAATATACTTCAAATCAAAAATCTTGTGCTGATCCCTTTAAACTTCATGACAGTATAGTTCGTAAATCTTTGAGACCAGTCAGTTTAAAATTGTTCGAACAGTGTAAGATTAGGTTACCTTCCATTATACCGGGAAGTAAACTATGCATTTCGTGTACTAAAAGAGTCTATAGTGAATTACCAGAACATCAAAATGAAGTTGAAATATTTGAAAAAACTGTGAATGTCGAAGAAAGTCAACTAGTTGAGAGTGTCTCTGAAGATTCCGTTTCCAAATCATCAAAACCATCCGAAACACCTGACCAAGTAGGAACTCCAATATTAATTCAAAGCCTGGTGGACGAAAAAATGTCCTCTAATTTATCTGAGAACTTGCAGTTGTGAAATGTGAGAACTTCAACATCTGAAATGTGCAGCTCAACCGGTGAAACTTTTACACCTACTGAAATACATCTAGATCGCCTTAATTCTATTGCCAAAATTTTTAATTTATCTCCTGTAAAAAAAAAAGATTTAGATCGATCAAAAACATACGCTCAACGGAAATATCATGAGATGACATCGAAACTGCAATCATGCTTTGAACATCTTATGGAAAATGATTCTGACACAATTAAAAATAAACAATTGAACATTGACAAGACTTCTGAAGGAAAGGATTTTCGGTTAAAAAATACAGATATCTACAATTTCGTTGAAAAACCAGATATTAAAAGCAGGTAAAAAACTGAAATTTCCGTGTTAGTACTTTATCTACATTAAGTTTGGATTTGAAAATTGAAGTCATATTAACATTTTTCAGGTTAAGAAAAAGAAAAAGAGCAACAACAGTAAAAGAAGAATTAAAGAAAAAAAGACTTTTTGTAACAGAATGTAAAGTGAACTTACACTTGAAATGCTCTATCAAATAAATGAATAACCAATAATAAACAAATATCATTAATGTTTTTTTTCTCATCATTATGCCACTAAATGAAATTTCAACTGTTTAAAATATCAAAATTACACGATTTGCCAAACTCGATTAGGATAAAAAAAAAAAATTTTAAGAAAAAAATTATTTTTAACAAATTTAATAAATTCATATTTTTGAAAAAACAAAAAACACAGTTTCAAACATTTCGGGATCTTTTAAGATTGGTACAAGGTAGAACACAAAAAAATTTGAGCCAAAAATTTATTGTTGACGGTCAATTTTCAAAAATTCAAAATTTCACAAATTGGAGGTTTTTCAAAATTCTTTTTCGGAAATTTTTTTTTTTTAATAGCCCCAAGTATGCCGTTAGGAACTTACCCTAAGCGATTTTTTTAATTGCAATAGTTTTCGAGATTTTTAAAACATAAATTTAAAAAATATGGAAAATAGTGAAATTTTGGATTTTGCATAACTTTTGAAAAAAAATTTTTTTCCTTTGGCAGAACTTCGTCGTAGGATAAACGAAAACTTCTGACCAAAATTTGTTCAAATCGAAAGGGGTCGAATCCAACTATTGGTCGATTTGACGTGGAATGACCCAGCGGGAAGTTAAATATCTAGAAAACGGTTCAGGCTGCAGGCCATCCATGGAACTTTTCGCTACATAAGAGTTCAAAGCGCTCGAAAAATTATCTATATTAAATTAGATAAATATAACTTCTATAGCAGACTAATATAAGAAAACAACCGGTTTTGATTCTTAGGTTATCCGAATTAATTTTTCGGTGACGAAAAGTTTCGCACTGAGTGGTTCTCACTTTCCCTTTACTTCTACCCTTTCCCGAATTTGTCGTAATGACAAATTACTATGTTGAATATGGTGAAGAATTTTCTTTCATTTTAATTAGAGCGATGGAGAAAATTCTACTCTACTGATTGTAGTTATTACTTTTTTATTTAAGAATTATTACTATATTGACTTCTCAACACTTTTCAATAGATTTTCTGTGAGTTTGACTCAATTTGGTCCTGTAGATTTAGAGAAATCTCAAAAATTAAATTTTTGAAAAAGTTCTTTTTTTTAACACCTTTTAGGCTAGTGTATTGATCGAATTCAAAATCTTATTAGCTTTCAAAATAAGAAAATGACGTCGATTGCCGCGAACCGCTTGAAATCAGTCGATTCGTTCAAGAGATATTGTTGTCTAAAAAGTTTGAAAAATGGTTTTCTTACATAAGTTCAGAATATCTCTTTGGATCGTTTTTGATGTGAAAAAATAATTATAAATGCTTGAAAAACTGCGTCGAATGCTGCAAGCCTTATCGAAAACGATTAATGCGATCGGAAGATCGTGCAATTAAAAATTTTCATAAAAGTATGTTTTCAACAACCACTAAATTTTCGAGTTCGAAGAGCTACAAAAGTTGTGTTCTTGGGCTCAAAACACCGGAATATGTAATTTATCGAACGTTTTGAATTGATATATATATATCGAAACCATTTTCCAGATTTGTTTTTATGGATATTTTTGTTATAGTCTTGAACTATGTCAAAATTATTCACTACAAATTAAAAACATACTTACCGCTAATATGTTTCCGTACGACCCAAATACACCAGCTGCACCTTTTTCTCCTTTAAGTCCTACATTTCCAGGCAATCCTGGAGGTCCTGGTCGACCCTAAAGTAATAATTAATGAAGATAAATAACTCTTAAATCCGCAGTGACATATATTATGAGCGTACCTTTTGCATGAAATTCTTAACCAAGTAGCAATATTAAACAATTTATAAATAATTGAGGATCGCTAATGCTTTGATACTGTAGTATCGTAAAAATCAGAAGCTAGATTCTGATCTGACAACATCCAAACTATAGGTAGTCGCTATAGCGAGTATAACTGTATCCTAATTCAAATACTATCTATGACTGTAGATAGCTTTGAAGAGAGCATAAATGACGTTAGCAGAATATTTTCATGACATAAATTTATTTTTTTTTGTCATTTGGTGACAATTTTAATTGAACACCCGGGGAAACGGTTTAGATCTGATCAGACATGGGATTGGAGACATAATCAGATCTAGTTATATCTGATCAGATCTAAACGGATATAACTATATCTGAGTTAAAAAATTCATCAGACATGATCAGATCTAGTCATATCTGATCAGATCTAAACAGATATAACTATATCTGCGTTGAAAAATACATCAGACATGAACAGATATAGTCATATCTGATCAGATCTAAACAGATATAACTATATCTGAGTTGAAAAATACATCAGACATGAACAGATATAGTCATATCTGATCAGATCTAAACAGATATAACTATATCTGAGTAGAAAAATACATCAGACATAATCAGATCTAGTCATATCTGATCAGATCTAAACAGATATAACTATATTTGGGTTGAAAAATAAATCAGACATAAAATGATTTTATTATATCTGGCCAGGTATAACTATATTTGTTAACTATTAATAAATACTTATAAACTATTTTACTAAATATACTTTTCTCCCAAATAAATATTTATTGAATGTTAAAAAATATTTATTAGAATTTAATAAATTAAATAATTGTCTTCGAATAAATTAATTTGTTAACAGTTAATAAATCTTCCTATCAGCGTATATTGATAATTAAAAATTTGCAATGAATTTGATAAAAAACTTTGTTCATTACGCATCGATCATGGACACGATTCACATTACTTGTAGTTATTACAAACTCTTCCCACTCTCGTTTCAAGCAAGTTTCGTTGGTAAACAGGTAATGAATTAGTCTCTCAAGCGCCAGGTCCCCGGTTCGGTTCCCGTGCGCGCCGATTTTTTTTTTCTTATGAAAATACTTCTATATAATTGTATATAATTATATATGGCCATTTTTCGTATATAATTATGTATGAGTATATATAATTATATATAATCTTTTTTACCTGGGCAATTTTAAGATTTGACCAGATCTGGTCAGATCTGATTATATCTGGCCAGATCTCGTCAGATAGAGACAATTTAAAGATCTGGCCAGATCTGTTTATATATGGCCAGATCTAATCCGTTTTTCCCGGGCAGTAAGTTATCAGTAAGAAGTAGATGACCTTATAGATTGATGTTATACATAGTGACTCAAAACTACTTGTACTGTGGAAAAATTGAGATTAAGTAGACAATTCGGAACTCTTTCGTCACTTTTCAAAAATATAAGTAGTTTCAAGTGGTAAAAATTTTTAGTTGACCAATCAGATGGGATAATAAACATTTAAGAAACAACAGAAAAAGACAAAGAATAAAGTTAGCATAGTCGTCATAATCATAACTCACACACAAGTCACACTTTTATTGTTGCTGTATTCAAAAATTTCTAAAGCTATTAATTCTTGTGATTATGAAGTAATGTGTGTGATCATTATCAAATTAAGTAAACATCAATTTAACATATTTATTTGAAAATTTCGACACTAAACAATAATTACTATATTTTATTGTCAATTATGTCTTATAACAAGCTCGGGAATTTTAACTTCCTGCTAAGAAAATTGAAAATTTTCCGAAATCAGGAAGTTATTGTTGTTACTCCGTTTTTCGAAAATCGAGTTTTCATCAGATCTCAACGTTCTTAAGTCCTAGGAAGCTTCCTTGACTATCCCCGTGATAATGTTACAGAAGTCTGTATGTATGCGTGTGTTTGTTTGTGTATGTATGTGTGTATGTGTTTGTATGTGTGTGTGTGTGTGTGTTGTTTTTTTTTTTTTCCCTTTAGGGGGGGGAATCCTTTTTACGGATTCTAGGCATAGATGTTGGCCCGGATATGTGGCGACTCGACGCAGCGTCATACTAAAACTCGACGCTAACGCCCCTACCCACT